TTTTAAAAAAATGTTACAGGTCATGTGCTCCATCCTCAATTCCAGGCGCTCAGCATTTCGAGGTGGTTCTCTGGCTGAGTGGCAAAGTTTGACCCTTATTTCCTGGCTCAGTCTTACTGCTGTAGAGGCAACTTGTGAACTGCATCCCTTCCAATCAAAAAGCAGACAGACATCAGTACTTGCCAACATCTCACCAATTAAAATTACAAACCACCACATTCTGTCTTCACGTCTGCATGAGGTTTGTGCTCACACTAGCTTCCCCCAAGAGCATCAGTGAGCGCACAGCTGTTAGGCCAGATGAATTCCAAGAAACTGTAGCTTCTTACTACATAACCTAGGCCAGCAAAATTCCAAGAAAAGCTTTCTTATCCACACAGGCAAGAAATATGGCTAGCAAGTGTTTGATCAGAATGCAACATGACTGAGCAATTATTTTCAAAATGTGATCAAGCTGGAAGGTTTCAACGTCTTCTCATCCTCTTAAGTATCTCCTCTGGCCCAAGAACATGAAAAACATTATGATTCCGATCTGAGAAGCACACAAACAAATGGCACTGCTACTGGAAGCTAAAGCCTGGCTTGCTTTGCAGGGCCCTGACTGCCAAGAGACAGATGGAGTCTGAGGTATGGACACACCTATAGGGACGTGGACTACAAACACCAAACTGTTCTACACAGAAGTTGCTGCAGAGCTGGAACACGACACTGATTTTTCTTTAACTGCTGACTAGAAGTGGATCTAACATGACAAATTTAAAATTCCTTTACTGATTATCTAGAATATCCTCATATGTCTCATGCAATTCCAACAACACTGCAGACTTCCATGTGCTGGCTTTACAGACCAGTTCTGGCAGCAGAACTACTTTTTACTGTAAAATTGTAAGCCTCTTCCAAGAAATTAAATTTTTCTTTCTGTGCAAATAATTTCTATAGATTCAAAGTTTACTGTTCAGTGTCTTCTAAAACTGTACACAACTTTATTTAGTAGCAATATATATCTAGTCAAGCAATTAAGAGCAGGCCTAGAAATTTATAGTGCAATAGATTATTATTAATAATTATAGATTTGCAACTAATCAACCTGCATTTTTTACAATACATTTCCATAATTCAGTGTTTTATAGCTACTTCCACTCACACATTCACTGTCCCTAGTATTGAAGCAACTCTCTGGTAACCACCCAGCTATGACATTACTGTGACAACTTCCTTTTCAGATCAAGGATCACAGGCAGTTGATTTCAGAGTGCTTGCAGAAATGCTGTAACAAAGTGTAACTGAAAGAGTACGATGCCTGCAATTCTTTGATGATAAAACTGGCTCCTAAATCTAATACTAAATAAAAATTATTTCAATACAATCATTATCCATTGTAAGACACTAAACTGTTGGAAGGTGCATCCAGCTAAAATTAGAGAACACTGCTGTCTGCAGGACTTGCCTACTCTTATTGTCACCTACAAACAGTGCACAGGAAGCTGATTTTTAGTGGTGTTGATATAAAGGTTATTCTGTCAGAAGCTTAAAATGAGAATTCATTTTAAAATTTCTCACTGAAGCTTGCAAAGTGCATCAGCAATTAACAATTCCTATCACTTCTCCCAGTTTGCTTTATGAAAATGCTCAGAACTCGTCTTACAAATTGCTCTTTTGAAGATCAAAGAGAAGCCGAATTTGTGCTCTGGATGAGTTAGTAATTTACTGGAACTTTCAGAGGAGGCTTGCCAGCACACTTGTTTGACATCCCCAGGGCACAGGATTGAGGGGAGCTCTGTGACTCTTCCCTTCTGAGTTCCTTCCTTAGCTTTATTGGCACCTCATTAGAATTTAATGAAAATGACATCTTCTGTTCTTCCCGCTCAGGGCATAGAATGCTACAAAAAGGCCCATCACAATTCATAACACATGAGCAATGGCTCTTAAGCATTATTTATGAGATGTGAATTTCTTGTCAGCAGTTAGTCCTTTAACAGAGTGGAAGAAGAATGAAAAAAGATTTTGAGAGTGTGTATGAAAACAAATCCTTCTACATCTGAAGAATATTGTACTTGAATTGCTGGAACTCCCTTTTCAGTTGTCAATTGTTGTTCTTCACATCAAAGCCCTGCAGCACTGTCAAATCTGTCTAAAATTCCATGCAGTGTCAAGGGAATGAGCTCAGCAGCATCACCTTTCTCTGGGCAGGGCTTACAGGAGACAGGAGAGCCAATACAGCAGCTTCCCAAAGATCTCCAAGCCAGTGTAAAGCACCAGTCATTCTGTCTGTCTCCTTTCCAAAAAAGAAGTGCCTTTTTGGACAAGTCCCAGTTAACTAGATCAGTATTTGCAGATATGTCTACATTAAACGTTTTTAATTTTCTACTATGTCTAACTGAAAGTCTCACTGGAGGACTCACCAGGACAAATCATCAAAAAGTAAGATGATTTCCAGTACTTTTAACATTGGGACAAGAAGATGTGCAACAACAAATGATTAAATTGTTGGTCTGTGGAGTTAATTTGGATTTTAACACAGTTTGGACAACTGTGTTAACAACATTTTTATGCTTTAAATCCTTTTTCCTTATATCCAAGCAAACCCACACATCGGTCATTCTGAAGATGATGTCTCCTTTTTATTGATCCTGGTATCAGATTTTCTCTTAATGTTTAAAACTCGGAGGGGTTTCCTCCATTTTTTCCCATTGCTTCAGTTCAGGATTAAGACACCAAGAATTTAATAGCAATGGTTCAAAGCTCAGATCAAACAATGTTCTGTGTTGATCATTACTTCTAAAGAGTGTACGTGCTTATTTTACACCAGTTGATTCTATCTCATTGCCTCCACCTGACCACACATCATGACCTGTGCTTCACATTAGGACAGAAAAGGATAACCCAGTCATGTGTGGATTTAGGAAATATGTTAAACAAATGAGAATTTGACAGATTTGTTCTACAGCATTTCCATCAACTCCTCCCAGGGTTTTTGAATGGGTGTCATTCATGACCTAAAGCAACCTAATTGTACAGACAGCAGGGCAAGCAAGCTAGGATGGTTTCTCATGCAACATCTTTAAAACTGACCAGAGCCACATGCTCTGATTATTGGTAAAGCAGTTTCGGTGACGTGAAGCTGAGGTGTCCTGTGTTGCTCAGTGGTAGCATTTTGCTTGCTTCTTATTAATCTGACTATTAAATCTAAGTGGCACAGGGTATGCACACATTCAAATCACATCAGAGCAGACAACACACCCTTACTACATGCAATATTAATGAAACATTGTAACTGCACAGAAACAAAAAATCTCCAGTTTTTTCAGCCCTTTTGTACATGTGGAAATAAAACTCCTGCCTTCTATTTTCTCAATAAAAGTATGGAACAAAAAATGATAATAATACAAACCATAAACTGTATAGGATGTAATGCAGGAATGCAAATTTTCATCTCACTTATTACTGAGGAATTCAGAATTTTTTTTCAAGTTCATGTTTTATTAACATATTTTATGAACTTTAACAGAAGTATTTCCATAAAGCTATATATATATCCAGTAGAAGAAAATTAAAGAGTAATTCCTACAACATTTATATTTCAACAGCATTGAATTATGGAACCACTTCATTAAAAATTGAGAAGAACCAACCAAATATATCTGTAATCCAGTTTACAGGGAAAAAAAAAGGCAGGTCTTATTTTATAATTTAAAAAACATTACTGATCAATAAAAGGGTTTTTTAAAAGTTGCTTTCAACTTAATTCCTCTTACATAGCTCCAATATTGCAGAATGCAGGAAATGCATTCTGCAGTATCGGAGCTATGTAAGGTTGATACATAATGGTTAAGCAATCATTTGTCCAATCCACCCCAAAATTCAAACTCTTTTGCTCCCAGTATTAGGGACCATTCTGCTATTTCAGCCAGGTGCCCATAAGCAGCCTTAGTAGGTGTACTAAGCTGACCAGGAGCAGAACAGCAGACCAGGAGCAGAAATTCTTGCCTCTACCACACTGAGCAGAAAGAGCCATACCAAAATGTGTCATTGATAACCCTGAATTTCTTCAGTTCGATAAAAATGTTACCAGACACTTCAAAGTATCTTGACACATGACTTTCATAACAAGAATTTCAACATTACAGCTGTTGATTTCATGTTTTGTGGCTTCACAGATAATGTATATTAGTTCTGTGCCAGTGCTCCAATATAGAAACAATGTCTATCTCATGTCTCAAAGAGCCCAACACAACAGCCTGAAGACATACAGATGCTTAAGAAGAGAACAAAGCACAACACAAAATGTGTGCAGTTTTCTATCGCTTCTCGTCACTTGGCACTTGGTATTCAGTAAAGGATTAATTCCATTTATTACCATTAGCCCACCCTTCCTCTCCACACTGCTGCTCAAAAGAACATGGCATCTCTCAAGAAAATGGTTTTAACACAGGATTTTATATTTCACGGGCGCAACATGAAATGCACCTATCATCTGTGCAGATTTTTTGGAAATCATCCTCTGCCTGAAACACAAAGGAGTAACTGAAACAAACTTCTCCAAATGTACCAATACAGGCATTGTCTGAGAGTTCAATGCAGCCTTCAATACATGGTTATTTGAAAAAATAATTATCAGATAAAACTACCACATGCATTATCACTGGGTCTAACGAGCACATTTAAACCAGTTAAGAACTCAACTGTTTCATGAAGGAGAGCACATCTCCTCTGGAATCTAGTCACATTAATCATTGTTTCAGAAAGATTATTTGTGTTTAATATGAAAACCCAAATTAGCTGTCTGTATGGTATTATTATCCTCAATTCAACTACCTGAACAGGGTCATCAACTTTGGAAAAGCCAAGTAAGATGACTTTAATTGTACGGTGAACTAGAAAGTCTACCCCCACAAACTAAGTGTGAGAATGAAAATACTTTTAATTAGAGGGTTTTTTTTATTTAAGTTTTTAATATTAATGTAATTATAGCATGCAGAAGCAGATACTGACCTATGTTCCTTTACTCCCTATAGAAACTTCTTATCTTTGCATATTTATTGATTTGCTTTGTGCTTCCTCTCCTGTGAAGTGCGTATGATGCCCCTCCTGCCCTACAAGGACTTCTGAAGCTAAATTCATTAATATGTGGCATCTCTTGAGACAAAACAGTATATCAAAGCCAAAGTTTTAAAGAGTAAATTAGACAGGAACTAATTATAACTTTTTGCTACCAGTGGAAGCTATAGCTTCTGTTTAAAGCATCTTTGCAAGGTGAAAAATTGTTCTCTGTATTCCATGTGTGACACAGATCTGAGCATGGTTGCGTTCAAAAGCTGGACTGACAAGCAGTACTCACCACAGCGACATGATCCCAGTTCCTGCTGTACTAGTTCCAGTTTTGTTTGGCACTGGAAGCATCGGCGTCTGCTCTTCTGTTTGGATCGACTGGCTTCTTCAGGCCTGTTATTACTGTCATCCAGTAGCCGTGGCCGTTTCACAGGAGAAGCCTCACTCTCCGACTGTGAATCTGTTGTATTCACAACAAATATTTTAGGAAAAATATTAGAATTTCCTCACTGAGGCATCCCTTTAGGCAGACTGAAGGTATATGGCTTTCAGCTGCAGTCACCACCAAGCAGTGTGATACCTCCCATTCTATTGCATATGCAAGTTTTCGTAACAACCAAAATGAGCATCAAGTAAAGGAGAAATTATCTTTGTTCCCCATAAGAACCCCTCCTGCTGTCAATACTGAATACAGAATGAACTGATTAGCTTCCTTCCAGCCTTGGTTGGGTTATGCAGAGATACATGTGGAGCATACACCATCCTAAAAAATTGCAGGCTTCATCTGTCATCTCATTTATTTTCTCCTGTGTGCAGCCTTTGGTGTCCTGACACAAACTGACTAAAGTGATGAAAAACAACTGAGCACAGGTTTGACCTATTTCGTCCCTGGGCCAGACGGGGATTTTTCAAGCACAACATGTAAACTGTATCTCTTATGACTGAAGACGGTACATGAAAGCACCATACTGTGCTTCCCTCTCTTTCCACATAGATAACAACTTAAATTGTATACACCAACAATACAATCCCAAACAAAATAAGCATGATTTGTACATACATCCCATAAATTCCAAATGCTCAGCCATTTCCAAAGTATTAGTCAGAATAGCAAATGGTATTAATAACTTCGTATATTTCAGCTTGTAAAAGAAAATGGTGTGTGGAAAGCCTTTAAGAGGTCAAGCTTACATCAGTCTGACTTCAGGTAGCATAGTCCCTTCTTTTTCAGTCTTTTTTTTTTTTTTTTTCAATGGAGAGTGCACTGATAAGGGTTCTAGAGTAGCACATGGAATGCACATTACTGATTGAACTGTGAAATTCCCAAGCCTTGTTTTTGTGGCATGTCAGGCATGTCAGAGACACAACATTTCAGTGGATCTGCTGTCCTGCAATCCAAGTCAGGTATTTTCCCTTCCCAGATCTGTGCACAGCAGAATCAGTGCTGTATTTCTTTGTAATAAGAACTGCAAATAAATCTAATCCCAACTGTACTAAAAATTAAATTGTTTGTTGTAGTGCTGCAAGAAGCTGCTGAAAGACATTACTGCAATCAGTCATTATTCTACTGCATGATGGTGAGCAAATTAAAAAAAGCCGATTAGCCTAGTTAAATCCCTTTTGAACCAACATGAATCCAACAAATAACAGGCTAAATCTATCTTTTTGGCAGGATGGTAACCTATTGAACATGCCTGTACTATTATTCTAAGATTGCAATGCTTATGTCTGCTTTGTGCCATCCTGGATTAGGCAGGAACAGGTAACCGCCATGTATACAACACTGTTCATAACCTTGTTATGTCAGCTATCTTACCTGAGCCACTGCTTATCAACCTCATGACTTTCCTTGAGTAAACACCTAAAGGAGTCAGACTTTGAATACTTGGTAGCTTCTCCCTTCAGGGACGATCTGTTAACTTCTCTTGGTTCCTCACATACAATAGAGATTAATTCACATTTCTTACCCATGTTTCAGGCCTTGTGTCACAGTGTTTTTCCAGTTGTTGTACCCCACTGTTACAGCCATTATAAATATACACCTTGCCTCACTGGGGCCTACTTTATTTCTGTCATATTGCTCTTAAGATATGCTGAAAATGTGCCTGGCTTTACAAGTATAAAGCCTCTGTATCTCACATTTCATGGAAGAGTGAATTGCTTTCTGCACTGTATACAAGTGGTAAGTTTTCATTAAGCTGCAATGGTTTTATCTGATGTGTGCCTCAAGACAACACCTTTTTGATCAGTGTCACAGATTACAATTTACACCTTACAAAATACATATATTAGGCCTAAACTAAAATTCAGTACATAATGTACACTTCTGCATGCTTGGCTGTGCAGAAGCCTTGGGAAGGAAAAGAAAGTAGTGCATAATGCATTAATACAGCTATGGAACAACTAGTCCTGTCTTAAATCTCAGGAGAACACAGTTCAAGGGAAAGATCCTCTGAAGAGACTGCCTGACTCCCTGAACAGAGATCCCAAGTCATACTCCAAGGCCAACAGTCTCCAAGGACACTTGTTTTCAGAGTGCCCAGAACACCAGGCTAACCTTGAGTGTATAAGGACACCCCCTCCAACAGGCAGATTCTGTCCTGTGACCTGGCTAACTCAGTGTTCACTAAAACCTGCTCCAGCCCACCTTGCCTCAGATGAAGATCTACATCATTTGCAGTTTATTCACTACGCAAAGGAACCGGTACATTGCCATTATGGAACTGCTGCCTCCCATACATCTTTGATTGTGGAAATATAAGTCATTCTTGTAGTTCTCAGAAGCCAATTTGGTATTCTGAATTACACTGATGGAAACCATAGTGGTCTGCTGATTCTGAAGTCCAAATAAGGGATTCACGGTGTGAGTCAACTAGTGTCTAATAAGTTAATGAAACCATATGCCTTAATGATAAAAATAGCTACCTCAAGTCAGGTTAGCATGAAAATACTTAGTAACACACTTTCTGTTAATTGGAAATGACTAACTGAATATTAACATGAGCTGGTCATAATCACAGAAATTATAGCTATCTCATTTTTTACAATGGGTATCTTTCTGCCATAGACTAAAACATTTAGCACTGAGGTAAAGTTAACCTGGGTCTCAGGGATAGCACCATCTCTCTGATCACTGACGTCCCAGGGCCTTGAACACAGGAATCCAAGCTAATACTACTCACAAACCAGACCTACAGCATACACACTTCCATCTTCCCGTGTGCAAGTCCAACGAGCAAGGAAAAAGCACAAACCAGAAATCAGACCTTTTAGAGTCAGTCCTGCATGGGTTTCTTCCAGATCATGTTGCTTTTCATGATACTGACACGTGTAATACATGACACAAAATATATCTTCCATCAACTGGAATCTTGCAACCTAAAAGTTCAAAGGCTTGATAGCAAAATGAGATTGTCATACATAGCTTTACTACCTGGAGCACAATTGAAAAAAATACCCTAGAAATACAGGCTGAAGTGCTGCACTCAAGATTCAAGAGTAAATTCCCAGTATGAACCTTTAAATAACCAAAAATGTCTACAGAGAAGAGGATTCTCTCAGCCAGTGACTGACAATGGCTTTTCTCAGAAAGTTGGTTCATTCAGTAACAGTTGTTTCCTCCTTTGCTTCAAAGAAACATTTTCCATGCCCAACTTGCATTTTAGTATTGCACCTAAACCACCAAATACCCAGTCCGAGAGAAAAAACAAAATCCTGCTCTTTTACCCACAGATGTAAAAAATCATAGAACTTCTCTGTATAAATGCACAATAAGGATGAGAAAGCCCCAAAATTTCAGGACGAAACTGCTCAGCAGATTAACTCCCACTGACACACTCCCACTGCAATTCTAATTCTGACTTAAGAAACAAGGATTCTTCTAACTGGTATCTGATTGTGGAGATCCTCCTAATTGTGTATCAAACTCCCACTTGAAATGAGAGAACAAAGAAGTTCAGTTAGGCAAGACTGAAACTCGAGGCTTACCTGAAATCAGCAAGCAGAGCAGTGTTCTTAAAACTATTATGTCATGGACAGAGACTCACATTCGTTTCTCACTGTCACTGTTCTCATCTTCATTACTCATGTTCTCCCCTCAAAATTTTTCAAAAAAGTGGTGCCTGAGGAGAATTCCACTCCCTTAATCTCCAGCCTTTGAGGAATTTGCAGGCTTCAGTTACAATCATGATGGCTCTTCCATGGCATTTGGGGGGAGGGTTGGGTGCTCTAGGCTCAACAGACATGTGGACTAACAAAACAGGGAAGGAGGAAGGATGGAAGAGATGGGAAAATAGTAAGAAAAAGAGGATCTCTCCTCTGCTGCTGCTTTCTTCAAGACGATGAATCTGTTTAATCTCCTGTTTTACAACAGCTTTTGAGGCAGTCAGTTTTTTTCTTATCATAAAGAATCCATCACACACACTGGCATTTATGATCTCAGCTGTCTGTGTAAACACCAGAACAAGCAGTCCTTAATGAACCCTCAAACATTACTGCCATCTCCCCTGAAACTATTTTAGAAGCAGCTTAAGCTGTTAAAACCTCTGTCCATGAAGAAACTTGCATAGTCACAGACAGTAGCTATGTAACATGGATTACCTAAAATTTGATCAATAGCTTGTTTCCAATTTTTAGTTAGGGTTTTTGTTGTTGTTGTTGTTGGTTTTTTAGTTTGGGTTTTTTTTTTTATTTTTTTTTTTGTTATTACTCATTATTCTATTCTTAGATGAGGGATTACTTAACTGCCTGGCATGTTTATGCATTATTATGCATTAAGAATTTAATCTAGAGAAAACTGCTTCTATATAAATCTTTCCTATCACATTTACCAGAATCATAATTTAAAATAATCTCTCTAGTTCAAATAAATCTAAAATTAACATAGTTGTCCCAAAACCCTTTTGTTTGTTGACTATCAATGAAGAAACTGAAATTCAATATTAACACCTCAAAAGCCAAATCTGACAACTGTGACCACCTTAGTCCCTCCCTGTTGCTGTACAGGGCTGTGGAAAACATAATTCTGAAACTATGGCATTTCATTGAAATTAACATCATGCCTTCTCACACAATCGTGATTGTATCTCATGGCTGTGCACCAGTTTGAAAGCACTCACACTCATAAGAAATTTCTCATAAGAAATAAGAAAGCACTCACACTCATAGAAACACTAGACAGATATATCAAAAAAATCTTACATAAGCCCCTTGGTAAAATTTAACCACACAATCTCTTTTCTAGTATCATTGCAGGGCCCTTACCATCATTATTTCACTGATTTATTTTTTTTCCCTCCATAGAGTTTAGAAGCAACTGCACTAAAACTCAATGTCCATAAACAATGTGAAATAGAGAGACCACATGGGAACAGTCTCTACAGAACTCACATCCCATCAGTCGCTTCTTTGCCTCGGGAGGCTCTCAATGAAATCACACGGGAGACTATAAATAACACCCAT